GTAAAGATTTACAGCCTCGGAAACCCTGTACAGGGTCACTATGAGTCGGAACTGACTCCACGGTACTTAACAACAACAACAGCAATAACAACCTCATTAATAATAATAAAAGCAGTCTCAGACCCTCCTCTCTCTGAATTCTGAAAGCATCTGCACATTCAGCCAATTTTTGGTGCACTTTTTCCTTAACAAACCTGGAACTAGGAAACTGGTTGCTAATCTGTCACTAATAGTTGATTGTCTTTGTGTCTCATTTTTTCAATTTGGTACTAAGTTCATAGGATGCTAGACTAGCCTCATCATATCCGCTATAATGTTCAATATGGATGGTAACTTGCTCATTAATAAATGCTTGATGTATTACTGAAATGAGAAGACATTGGTGTTTCATTAATAAATGAATTCTACTAATAGTTACAATAGAATGTGTCTGTTTGCCTTGCACCAAGCACTATGCTAGGTGTTAGAGGTAAATTTTTCTTTCTCTGAGGAGTTTATAGTTTAACAAGGGAAACAACAGACAATTAAACATTTGTGACAAGTACTATTAAGGAAAAGCAAAGAATAGGGAAGAAGGCTTGCATTGGGCACAAGGGTCTGAAAAGGCCTCCCTGAGGAAGAAGCATGAAAGATGAGGAGGAATGGATTCAGTGAGAGTTGGGAGTGGAGAGAGAGTCAGGTTAGGGGAGACAGAAGCCGCATTGGTGACACAGACCCTTCACTGGCTACCTCCTTTTGAAGGAGAACCCACCCTGAGACCATAGTCTATTTACCATCACATTCTTCACTTTAGAAAAAAGTTTTTAGTGAACGTAAGGGTCCTGGTGTGGTGCTGTAGGATAAGTGCAGGATCTCAATGTCGGTTTGAACCACTAGATCAGAAGCTCAAACTCACCAGCAACCCCTTGGAAACCCTATAATGGGTTGCTATGAGTTGGAACTGACTTCATGGCATTTAGCAACAACAAAAACTGAACACAAAAATTAGTAAACCAGTTGCTCTGCAGTCATATCTGACTCATGGGTGATTCCATGAGTATCAGAGAAGAACTATGCTCCACAGGGTTTTCAGTGTTTGATTTTTTGGAAGCAGATCATCAGGCCTTTCTTCTGAGGTACCTCTGTGTTTACACAAACCTCAACCTTTCAGTTAGCAGTCAAGGCCACAAACTGCACCACCTAGAGAGTCCAGTGACCCAAAGAGTCCCCGGTTTCCACTGACAGGAGCATGGATGCTGTCATTGATTATAAGAAGCACAAATCATGGTGTTTCAACATGTTTATGGGAATAAATCCTTCAGCATCAATATAAAATACAAGCATTTAATGCAGTAAAACAGTTTTAGAGTACTAAAATTGGATTATGGTATTAGATTTGGCAGATATCAAAGTACTTTGGTTTAGGGAGCCAAATTCACTAATTGCTGGGAAATTGAAAACTGAACCTGAATTTACTTAGAGAAGTGTTTTTCAGACTTATCGGAGCCAGGAAACTTGTTTGAATGAAACCTTATGATATGTAAATACATCTATCTGCTAGAGCAGATGGGGCTGGGGATAGACCCCAAATCCTCAGGCTTCCCTTTCTTCAGAAATCCCCAGCTCTGGGCAGTTCACTTTGAAAACCACTCACTTCAGAGTGAACAAGTTGTCTACAACATTAGGGTGGCCTGCAGGCTCTGTCAAGTTATTCAGAGTCTCAGAGTATATACAAGACCATGGAAAAAGCAACCCTGCCTTCCCCCATCTTTTCTTTAATGAAATAGGCTCCAAATGGATTGTTCTAGTGGATGAGCGAAACTCCATGTATACTGACTCAGGTGCTTTTGAGGTTTGCTATAAAGAAGGTCTTATGACATATCAAAGAAACCCTGATATCCAATGAATGGATTAATTCAGGAAAGGACACTACCCTCTGTGGCAATTCAGACAAACCTATTTCTGGGGAAAAATACTCCACAAAAGCTGGGACAAATTCTGCTCAGTGATGTAAATGGAAAAGCATGAGTATCATTGGGGGGCTGCTTTCTGTTCTGAGTTCTTCAAAATCCAAAGATGGTCACAGAAAGCAGACGGATGTTGTTGGGTTGTTGTTGGGTGTTGGCAAGTCAATCCCAACTCAGATAGACCTCATGTGACAAAGCAGACCTGCCCGATGGGTTTCCTTGGTTGTAATCATTATAGAGGAGTCCTGGTGTGGTGCTGTGGACTAGTGCATCAGACAGCAAAGTCATTTGAACTGCAAGGTCGGTGGTTCAAGCTCACCAGCTGCTCCTTGGAAACCCTATACAGTGTTGCTAGGGATCGGAATCGACTCGATGGTACTTAACAACAACAACAACAACAACAATCATTATAGAAGCATATCACCAGGTCTTTCTCCCACGGGTGATAGTGAGTTCAAACTTTCAACCTTTTGGCTAACAGCTGAGTGCTTAACCACAGCACTCCTTAGTAGAACAATTGTGGGGCACCTTTTAGACCCTAGAGAGCTCGGGTTGCCCATTCAATACCCATGTTCAGACTTGTGGTTTTCAACCTGGACTATGAGGTTTCTTCCCTCTGGCTCCCAGCTCCAATTTCTTGCTTCTGCTGAGTTGGCAGCTGCTGGCTTAAGGGAAGTAGGGTGCAGTGAGGCCTCTTTTCGCCTATGATGGGAGTGCCTGGAGATCAGCACACTGAAAACTGAGAATCTGGAGGACAGCTTAGTCTTTGGGGAGATGTGGAGGGAAAGTATGATACTGGTATGACGTTCAGGATCTTCTGGAAAGGTCAGGTGTGCTATGTGGGTTGAAAGAGTCACTACTTGTCTTCGAGGAAGCCAGGGAAGAGGAGTCAGAGGAATAATGGGCTGTTAGGCTTCCTTCAGTTACCTTAACAGGACCCTAAAATGCAAAGTAGTGGTCTTGAAAACAAAGTTCTATAAATATTCCAATATACTTCAGCACAGGAGTCCTGGAGTCACAGTGGTTAAGTGTTTAACTGCTAACAGAAAACTTTGAAGTTTGAACCCACCAGCCACTCCAGTGGGGAAAGAGATGGCAGTCTGCTTCTGTAAAGACCACAACCTTGGAAACTCTATGGAGCAATTCTACTCTGCCTTGAGGCTCACTGCGAGTTGGAATTGACTCAACGGCAGTGAGGATTTTAAACTTAAGTACAGAGCAAAGCTATTGTTACTGTTGTTAGATGCCATCAGGTTGGTTCCTACTCACAGTGACCCTGCGCACAACAGAAAGAAA